CCCGACTCGGGATCCCGGAAGTGCGATTTTGCCGGTCTCTAGTATATACTTCCCAAAAATTGAATATGCGTCCAATCAGAGAATATCAGTCAAGATCTATTAAGCCAACCAAATCCACTTAATTACCCCTAATCCTTCTATAGTCTTCCATTGGAACTACCTTTTCATACCGTAAGCAAAATTACGAGAATTTTGGAGGGCCAAAGAACCGGATTCCTTCCATTTACAATGCCTCCCGATCTCGACTGCTGGCTTATACTGGTTTTGGGGCGTTTATACTTTGAAGTGACGCACAATTCACGGGACGCATGTCTAGAGTACGCCATCATTTTTCAAGTTAGCTAATAAATGGAAAAAATTAAACTTGCGAAAAAGCATCAGCAGCCACACAATACATACTTCCAATCATCGAGTCCATAACTTTCACACAAGTCATTTTCCTAAATAAAAAAATGAGTAAAAAATAATAACTTTAAAATAAAAATATAAATGTAAGTAGCCAAAAAGTTTACAAGGATAGCATTGGGAAATTTCGTCAAGCTGAGTAATTCAAAAACCGCTTCGTTACGGTCTCCCTAGACAAGTAATCACACCGCAGCAGAGCTCGACCATCAACTTATCCCGTTAGTAGCTTAAAAAGTTTTTCATGCAGATTCCCCATTGGCTCAGCTTGACGAGCTTTCAAATAATAATTAGTAAAATTCTGGAAGCTTAAACTAATCAAGTGCAACAAACTTCACCCCCGGTGTTTTCAATAAAATCTAAGTAGCAAACCCAAAGCCGTTTGGAAACCCAAACCCCAAATTTTAAACTAAACCTTATTGGATTCACCTGAATAGAAATAAAAGCATTGCCATGATTTAGATCAATCTTCTGAACATATTGAACAAATTGAGATCTTGTATCTGAAAAAGAACAAATTAATTTTAAAAATCAGGTGAAAAAAAATTAATTTTAAAAATCAGACGAAAAGTAGTAAAATCTCAAAAACAGAAAATCTAAAATTTAAAGCATAAAAGGAAGCCATTTTTAAATTTGAATCTTGATAGTTTTTCTTTCTCTAATTCCCTAACTATCGGAGCAGGACGAATAGGCGCAGCCGAATAGGCGCAGACGGATAGGCGCAAGTTTTTCGGCGCAGCCTATTTTCGGCGTTTAACGCAAAAACGCGTAAACACATCAATTTACGCGGAAAAAAGTTTTTGCCGCTGCGGAGGAAGCCGGGCATGTCGAGCGGAACGACGGCCGCCGCTTCGCTACGGTCGCCGCGAGCGAAGCGAGCACGACCGCAGCGAAGCACGGCCATCGTGTAGCGAAGGCCATGCCCGGCCTACCCTCCGTAGCAGCACAAAAACAGTTTTTCCAGCGAAGATTCTGTTGGTCATAAGTTTATGCATAATTTTGAATCAAGCTGGTTTCAGTATCATCGATAAAGCTCGTCTAATGCATGCAAACGAGCTATTATTTGTATATTTAAATTTTTTTCCCTCGACGCCGAAAACATGCTGCGCCGAAAAAATTGCGCCTATTCGTCTGCGCCTATTAGTCGTGTACCCCTAACTATTTTCTTCAAATTGGGATAAGGACGCTTTGTCGCTGGCTACTTTTTCTCTTCCACTTTGTCGCAGTGATTAGAAAAAGGTGGTTTGTTTTTGTTTAAAAACCATCCAAGGTTAAAATTTTTGTTCAGGAGGAGTGGGATAATTCCAATAAGTTAACCGACTTCAAACACTAGTTTTTACTTTGATTTCGTTTTTAAGGCAAACTGGAGAGAGAAAAATTTAGCCAAAAAATTAGCCAACGACAAAGTAGGATGCATCAGTTAAATTTAATTTAGAAATAGTACTTTGGGTTAACCAAAATCATATTTTGCTGACTTATATTTACAACACACACGGGTTGAAGAGAGCAAATTGGGGGAAAATTCTGAATATAAAATTTTGCCTTCAGACATAAACGTTTTTATAATCTGTTTGAGAATTAATCCTGTCTTTATTTACATGATTGTGAAATGAAAAAAAGAATGCCCTACTCATCCTATTCAGAAAAATAAATTGACTACCCCAATAAATTTAGAATATTCATGCGCACTTTAAAGCGACAAGTCGTTGCATTTTAAGAAATATCAGGGACGGGTCGGATTAGAAAAATGGATCGGTTCGGTGTTGCCATAAAGCCAGATTTTTTCTTTTTTAGGTTCCAGGGGAAAATTATGGAAGGTCAAAAGACGGATTTCTTTCACAAAAAATTTCTTTGGAAGCCGTGTTTCTGGTCTGTTTCGATTAACCCGACCCATCCCCGGTGTCCAAGGGACGCATATCAATGTAGGCAAAACCCCTACAAAACCTGATTAGGTATAGAAAAAAACCTGCCAACAACTCGAAAGCATCGGTCGTTTAAATGAAAAATCAGAATTTGCCAATATCAATTGAGGGCCATCAACTCATCCACTTCATCTTATCATAGACACTAGTAGAATGGTAGAGCATTATCATTTTAGAAAAAAAATTTTAAATCTCTAAAAAACAAGAAAAACTAGAAGAAAATTAAGGAAAAGGAAAGAAATAAAAACTAAAATTTGAAAAACGAAAAAGAAAAAAGGGACATGCCCAAGTAGGCGCGCGGCCAAGTAGGCGCAAGGCCATGACTAGCCGGAAATTTTCTGAACCTTAACAATTTTGGTACCAATCTCTTTATCTCAATCAGAGGAATCGTTTAATACTAAATTTTGAAAGCCTTAGAAATTTTGAAGCAGGTTATGGCTTTGCGCCTACTTGGCCGCGCGCCTACTTGGGCTGTACCCAAGAAAAAACCGTCAATTTCCTTTCTATGTCTTCTATATTATCTATAAAATAAATAGACATTATGCCAAAATTGTACAAATTTAATTCAAAAGGCCACGCGAATTAAAATTTAAAAATGTTCGAAGAGGAATAACAACAGTTTTGGTGGAATGTTAAATTTATTTTTAGGAAATACGAAGTCAATAACGTCTATGGGCTGCGAATATTCCATCAAACTTTTTAATTATTTTTGCTGACATGTAGAGAAGGGCATTTTCTCGTACAAGAACACAACTTTATATAAAATGTTCCCTTAAGACATGAACGTTTTTATAACCTAATTTGAGAATTAATCCTGTCTACATTTAAATGATTGTGTAATAAAGAAGTAATGTCCTTCTCTATATTCCGAAAAATTAAATTCATTACACCAATAAGTACCCAATAAATTCAGAATATTGATCGCACATTACCAGAGCCAAATCATTATACGCCAAAACGTGAGCTACAAATCGTTGCATTACCAAAAATATAATGGGAACAGGTTGGGTTTGAAAAAATTCAGATTTGTACGGTGTTCTCAGAAGGCCGAGAAAGCCCGGGTTTTGCAGAAGCGCCTCGCCGACGCTTCCATAGGTTTACGTTGACTATTTTGAGCCTCTTTATCTCGGCTCAATGTTGAGACTGAGGGCTGATTTTGGTGTCATTCAACTCAACTCGTCAAGCTCTTTCGAATGAGCTTTTATTTGTATATTCAAATTTTTGACCCTAAAATCCCCCTATGGCTTTTGACCATTTCGAGCCCTATATCTCAGTCCACAGGCATCTCCGGAAAAAAGAGTACCGTTTGACTATGCACCTCTAATTACCCTATATATGACATTTTTAAAGAAATAAAAAAGGAAAAAATAAGTCTAATTTTAGAAACTTTTTTTTCAATTTTAATATATTTTTACAAATTTAAAGTTATTGTTGTGTTTATTTGAGCAAATAATTGTTTTAAAAATGCAAAGTTTAGAGAAATGTTTAGAATTTATTTACTTTAATTCCTTGTAATTTTAAGGTGTTGCGCTTGTTTGTTTTTGCTTAAATATTTTCATTAGTTTCTCTAAAACATTCATTAAACATACCCTTCTATGCACAAAATGTTGTTGTACAAAATATTGTTGTATTCCTCTCTCTCTTGTTAGTCTCATCATTGTTGTTACTACAGAAACAAACAAAACATCAAAACAAATAATTGTTTTTCCCTTATATTATTTTTACCATTTACAGCATCTCCCCCAACATCCTGTAATGGAGTAATAACAAATTCAGTTCCATCCCCCCATCCATGTCCATAAGCAGTCAAAGGATATGCTGCCTCCCCATGTTTAAATCTATCCAATCCACGTATTTCTACTTCTCTGGGCACCCTTATTTTTCCAAATGCTTTTAAAATTAGAAAAGCTGGAGTTAATACAAGTGCTGACCAAACAATTATTGCTACAGCACAAACACTTTGCCAACAAAGTTGCCATAATGCTTCGTCAAATTTAACCTTTTCGGGGTCAATTAAAGAGAAAAGAAGCCCTTTTTCAGTAACCAAACAAGCACTAATTAACCCCCACAATCCACCCCCAAAGTGAACAGCAAAAGCATCGAGAGGGTCATCTATTCGCATAATTAAACAGAGCTCTGAAAAGGCTAAATAGGCCATTCCTGCAATGGATCCGGTTATTGCTGATGTCCAAACAGGCCTAAAAACAGAACAATTAATTGTTTTTATTAACCAAACAAACATTATATTACAACCAGCACAGGCACTAACCATTCCTTAATAATGAGGGAATAATTAATTGTTCAAATTTTATTCTGATTTTGTTTGTGTGTTTTTCTGTAATATGTATTCTGGTTTTGTTCTCTGTTTTATTCTGATATTATTTCTTCTTTTATTCTGGTTTTGTTTTTCTTATTCTGTTATGTTTTTATCCAAGCAAAACAAATGTTTTAATTTTATTCTGGTTTTGAATCAGTGTTTTGTTTTCAAATATTCTGATTTTAAAACCTTAGTTCTGGTTTGTTTTTCCTATTTTATTCTGAATATTATGTTTTGATTGTTTTGAGGATGTTTTTATTTTATTCTGATTTTGTTTTAACCAAAAACAACAAGAAATCAGAATTTATTAAAAACATACCAGTTAAACAAGCATTAATTGTCAACAAAATTGTCCACTTTCATTTTCTAATAAAATGAACAAATAAATAAGACAAAGCAGCAAAAGCCCCACACAAAAAATTCTTTTGAAGCCATTTCTTTGGAAGCCGTGTTTCTGATCTGTTTCGATTAACCCGACCCATCCCCGATTGTTCAAGGGACGCATGCCAATGTAGGCAAAATCCCTACAAAACCTGATTAGGTACCCCAAAAATTTAGAAAAAAACCTGCCAACAACTCGAAAGCATCGGTCGTTTAAATGAAAAATCAGAATTTGCCAATATCAATTGAGGGCCATCAACTCATCCACTTCATCTTATCATAGACACTAGTAGAATGGTAGAGCATTATCATTTTAGAAAAAAAATTTTAAATCTCTAAAAAACAAGAAAAACTAGAAGAAAATTAAGGAAAAGGAAAGAAATAAAAACTAAAATTTGAAAAACGAAAAAGAAAAAAGGGACATGCCCAAGTAGGCGCGCGGCCAAGTAGGCGCAAGGCCATGACTAGCCGGAAATTTTCTGAACCTTAACAATTTTGGTACCAATCTCTTTATCTCAATCAGAGGAATCGTTTAATACTAAATTTTGAAAGCCTTAGAAATTTTGAAGCAGGTTATGGCTTTGCGCCTACTTGGCCGCGCGCCTACTTGGGCTGTACCCAAGAAAAAACCGTCAATTTCCTTTCTATGTCTTCTATATTATCTATAAAATAAATAGACATTATGCCAAAATTGTACAAATTTAATTCAAAAGGCCACGCGAATTAAAATTTAAAAATGTTCGAAGAGGAATAACAACAGTTTTGGTGGAATGTTAAATTTATTTTTAGGAAATACGAAGTCAATAACGTCTATGGGCTGCGAATATTCCATCAAACTTTTTAATTATTTTTGCTGACATGTAGAGAAGGGCATTTTCTCGTACAAGAACACAACTTTATATAAAATGTTCCCTTAAGACATGAACGTTTTTATAACCTAATTTGAGAATTAATCCTGTCTACATTTAAATGATTGTGTAATAAAGAAGTAATGTCCTTCTCTATATTCCGAAAAATTAAATTCATTACACCAATAAGTACCCAATAAATTCAGAATATTGATCGCACATTACCAGAGCCAAATCATTATACGCCAAAACGTGAGCTACAAATCGTTGCATTACCAAAAATATAATGGGAACAGGTTGGGTTTGAAAAAATTCAGATTTGTACGGTGTTCTCAGAAGGCCGAGAAAGCCCGGGTTTTGCAGAAGCGCCTCGCCGACGCTTCCATAGGTTTACGTTGACTATTTTGAGCCTCTTTATCTCGGCTCAATGTTGAGACTGAGGGCTGATTTTGGTGTCATTCAACTCAACTCGTCAAGCTCTTTCGAATGAGCTTTTATTTGTATATTCAAATTTTTGACCCTAAAATCCCCCTATGGCTTTTGACCATTTCGAGCCCTATATCTCAGTCCACAGGCATCTCCGGAAAAAAGAGTACCGTTTGACTATGCACCTCTAATTACCCTATATATGACATTTTTAAAGAAATAAAAAAGGAAAAAATAAGTCTAATTTTAGAAACTTTTTTTTCAATTTTAATATATTTTTACAAATTTAAAGTTATTGTTGTGTTTATTTGAGCAAATAATTGTTTTAAAAATGCAAAGTTTAGAGAAATGTTTAGAATTTATTTACTTTAATTCCTTGTAATTTTAAGGTGTTGCGCTTGTTTGTTTTTGCTTAAATATTTTCATTAGTTTCTCTAAAACATTCATTAAACATACCCTTCTATGCACAAAATGTTGTTGTACAAAATATTGTTGTATTCCTCTCTCTCTTGTTAGTCTCATCATTGTTGTTACTACAGAAACAAACAAAACATCAAAACAAATAATTGTTTTTCCCTTATATTATTTTTACCATTTACAGCATCTCCCCCAACATCCTGTAATGGAGTAATAACAAATTCAGTTCCATCCCCCCATCCATGTCCATAAGCAGTCAAAGGATATGCTGCCTCCCCATGTTTAAATCTATCCAATCCACGTATTTCTACTTCTCTGGGCACCCTTATTTTTCCAAATGCTTTTAAAATTAGAAAAGCTGGAGTTAATACAAGTGCTGACCAAACAATTATTGCTACAGCACAAACACTTTGCCAACAAAGTTGCCATAATGCTTCGTCAAATTTAACCTTTTCGGGGTCAATTAAAGAGAAAAGAAGCCCTTTTTCAGTAACCAAACAAGCACTAATTAACCCCCACAATCCACCCCCAAAGTGAACAGCAAAAGCATCGAGAGGGTCATCTATTCGCATAATTAAACAGAGCTCTGAAAAGGCTAAATAGGCCATTCCTGCAATGGATCCGGTTATTGCTGATGTCCAAACAGGCCTAAAAACAGAACAATTAATTGTTTTTATTAACCAAACAAACATTATATTACAACCAGCACAGGCACTAACCATTCCTTAATAATGAGGGAATAATTAATTGTTCAAATTTTATTCTGATTTTGTTTGTGTGTTTTTCTGTAATATGTATTCTGGTTTTGTTCTCTGTTTTATTCTGATATTATTTCTTCTTTTATTCTGGTTTTGTTTTTCTTATTCTGTTATGTTTTTATCCAAGCAAAACAAATGTTTTAATTTTATTCTGGTTTTGAATCAGTGTTTTGTTTTCAAATATTCTGATTTTAAAACCTTAGTTCTGGTTTGTTTTTCCTATTTTATTCTGAATATTATGTTTTGATTGTTTTGAGGATGTTTTTATTTTATTCTGATTTTGTTTTAACCAAAAACAACAAGAAATCAGAATTTATTAAAAACATACCAGTTAAACAAGCATTAATTGTCAACAAAATTGTCCACTTTCCTTTTCTAATAAAATGAACAAATAAATAAGACAAAGCAGCAAAAGCCCCACACAAAATAGTATTAACCATAACTTTGACTACTATTTGCCCAACACCTTTAGTTGAAATTTCTCCTGTTGATCCACCATTGAAAGCAAGAAATCCAAACATTAGAATAAATCCTCCAAGAGAGGCAAACTTGAAGGAAGAGGGAAGGGGAAATTTAGGAGAAGGAGAGACAACTTACAGGTACTGAATGCCCCTTAATTTCTGCAATTTTTGGTAATTTTCCTTCTGTCCCAACATTCCTTAAAGGTGTAATTCGTTGTTGTTTTCCTTTCTTAACTTTATTTTTCTGCCTAGCTTCTTTCTAAGGAAAACGTCCAATTCTTGGGCCGATAAGCAATGCTGCTATTAGAGAAATTGTTCCGCCACAGAGATGTACCTGGTAAATTTGCCACATAATTTATTAAATGTTTTTTGGGTACTACTGAAGATTTGTTTTGTTTTTAATATTTTTTCTTCCCATTTTATTTGCCTGTTTTTTCCTAGATAGGCCTGATGCTGAAACGTTCAAATCCGGTGTTATTTTAATGAAATCTTCTTTCTAACTACTTTTATCGTTGCCTAAAATTGCCTACCTATTTTAACATTTTCTGGAAAAATGCCCTATTTTGCCTTCTTTCAGCCTATTTTGCATATCTTTAGTAAAATTGCGAATTTTTGCGCAGTTTTTGATAAAATTCTTGTGTAAAAAATTTTTTTCTGGTAAAATATAAAATTTTTCTAAAAAATTTTTGTCAAAAAATTTTTCTGGGATAAATTTTCTTCTGAAGAATTTATCAAATTATTTTTGGAAACAAAATAATTAATATAAATTAATATACTATATGTAATTCTGATTGTCAAAATTAATTTATTTAACAGTTTATTGCTTAGATTTATCACTTTTGATAAACTTTAGCCAATTTAAATCAGAAAATCTCGAAAAAATCCTGCCTATTTTGCCTTTTTTCGGATTTTAGTGCCTATTTTAGCAGTTTTTAGTGCCTGCATAGTAGTGATGTTCGGGTATCCCGATCCCGACTCCCGACTCGGGAAAATTTCCCGAGTTTTTGGCCTCCCGATCCCGATCCCGACTCCCGGTATCAATTCCCGAGTAAGTCGGGAAATTTTTACACCCCTAAGAATGGATTTTTTTGATAAAATTTTATTTTTGAAGGGAAAAAATAAAGAGGAAAAAATAAAAAAGGCAAAGGGAGAATAGAAAAATAAAATATGTATATTTAAATTTTTTCCTAGAGATCTGTTGGTGAGCGATGGTTGAGTGGTAAGATTTAGTGACTTCACTCAATTTGATAGTTTGTAGGGTTTGGGTTCGAGTCCTGGGCTGGTAAATGCGAGTTAAATTATTTTTCCTCGAAAAATAAATGTTTTTTAACTTTAATTTTGTTTTTAAAATTGTAAAGTTATTTTTTTAATATTAGTAAACGTGAATAAACTGTAAAAAAATTAATTTAGTCACGAATTTTGCTAAATTTTTTCCTGCGGCGCAGAAAATGAAGAATATATGGCTTCCTAGCTTTCAAACCTAAAAAAAGTTTGAGACCCCTGAAATTAGCACCCCTGAAATCAACCCCTTGGCTACGGAGGGGTTTTTTGCCTAAGGACTGACGATAACATCAAGGGCGTATCCAGGAGGCTAGAGCCTACCCCCCCTCCCCCCCCTCCTCCCCCCCCCTCCCCCCAACCACGAAATTGGGAAAAGTGGGAGGGGAAATATGGAGATCGAAAAGTCGAATTTTTTGCCTAAGGACTTGCTAATTTTCAAAATTTTCGCCTGCGGCGCTGAAAATAGAAGAAATTTTACCGCATAGCCTTCAAAAATTCACAAAATTTTTGCCTGCAGCGGTAGTAAGGAAGATATCTGGCTTCTTACCTTTCAAAATTCTCAAAATTCTCGCCTGCGGTGCAAAAAATCGGAATTTTTGGTGCCTAAGGTATCAAAAAAATTTTATTGTAAATTCCCGACTCCCGATCCCGACTCCCGAGGTCATTTCCCGACCCGACTCCCGTTTCCCGATACCCGAGTTTTTTCTTCTCCTGAACATCACTACTGCATAGGCGCCTATTTTTTACTTATCGTGCCTAAAAACCGGGCTCTAGTAATTACCATTCCAGACCCAGCAAAATCAACATAAATTGTTCTGAATGTTGTTGTTGTGTTTGTAATTTTTGTAATGTTTGTTTCACTACTATTAAAGTCCGTTTCAAAAATATAGCGCCATGGATTTTTTGAGCGTTACTCTAACATCCACTTCTCAACTAGCAATCAAATTTTTGTCAATTATTCGTTTGATCAAATGTTTACATTATATAAATAAAATAAAACATTACAGAAAAAAATTATGGGGTAATTTCAGTGAATTTATTTATCTGCTCTTTAACCGATGAGCCCTCAATGTTAAGATTTTTCTCCAGGATGTGACCAAGTGTATTTTGTAGTAAATTTTGTGCTCCTTATTTTACCTATCTGCAGCTAGGTATCTGCAGATAAAAAAATCCGTAGCTGCAGCTACATATCCTTAGCATTGTTACTACCAGCAAGAGTAACGCTTAAAAAACCCCTGGCGCTATACTTTTGAAACGGACTTTAATGTTTAAAGTATTATTTTCGAATAAATGTTGTTCAAGTCCAAGGCTTGGGTCAAAACCTCTAGCCATCCATCCATTTGGAGTCCATCCCCAATGTGTTAGTATAGGGTAACAAAATGCTAGGTTTTATTTTTTTTTATTTTTTTAAAATTAATTTACAAGTAATTAAAAGTGAGTAGGTTAAAAAACAAGCAAATTCTGCCCTTTCTGCGACCGCCCCAGAAATTATTTTCTTAAAAATATTTTTTAGAATTTTTGAAATTTTTTAAAAGGTTTACAGCAGCTGTAGCAGCAAAAACAAATTGAAAAAAGAATTTTGCATAATTTTGTAGGCCAATAACAAAGAATTGACTAAAACCGAAAAAATGGTCAAGAAAATTGTTTGAATTAGGTCCATATGCCAAAGCCCATCCAATTGCCCAATAACCAAGAATTCCGAGAACTTTAAAAAATTAAAATCTTTTTATTTTCAATGTAAACATACGCGAATCCAAAACATTTTTAATTAGAATATTTGTACAATTTTTACTTCTAACAGCTCCAGCTTCGAGAAAAGCGAATCCACATTGCATTACTTAAAGATTTTAGGAAAACTTTTATACCAATAAATTTCAATTTAAAATTCGGTTAGTCACTGAATGGGGGGAAAGGTTTGGGGAAGTAGAGCTTTCCTGGAAAGTTCCAGTCAAAGCTTTGGTTTCCAATTTCGACCCAGTTTCGGCGAAGTTTTAGCGGGTGGTTGAGGCTATCTAAGCGACATCCTCTACTCATTAAGTAGAGAAGATTGGTAGAGCTTGCCATGGAAGCTCCTTGGGAATCATGTCAAATATTTTTATTCCATTCCGTTCCCGGTAGCCTTTAGTGGGTTGTGGAGAGGGAGAGCTGCCTAACACGGACAATATTTGGGCCCTAAGGGTGTATTCACAATGCAAGTCCGACTGTATTTATTTTTAAGTTTTCCAAAAATTTTTTCTTCCACATTTGTAATTCCTTTTTTAATTAACATTTTCCCATTTTCACTCACAAAATATTATAAGCGCCATAGCACAACTAAAAAAAGCATCGTTGTTGTCGTTTGTATTTAATTTTAATTCGTCTAATATTCTTTTAAGTTCATTTATTTCTTCTGATAAATTTGCTGGATTTAAGGGTTCGGAAGTATTCATTTGGGAGAAATTGAATTTTTTGGGGGAATTTTAAAAATTTTAAAACTAAAAATCTCTCATTTCCTAAATTAAAAACGATTAAAAAGAGGGGGAAAAGTGTGTGGAGAGTATTATGGGTACAGCCCAAAACGGCGCGCGCCCATAACGGCGCAAAGCTATGACTTGCTGGAAAATTTCTGGCCCTTGTCAATTTTGGTACCAATCTCTTTAACTCGATGAGAGGAATCGTTTGATACTAAATTTGTTAAGATCCGGAGATTTTGAAGCAAGTTATCGCTTTGCGCCGTTATGGCCGCGCGCCGATTTGGGCGTTCGCAAATATTATTATTTTTGTTATTTTTCTTCAAAAATTTGTTTTAAAAAATTTTTCTTATTTTAAATTTAATCGGCCATTTTCATCTATTTTTTGTCCCTTTCCGCTCACATTACAAAAAAATCTATTAAATTTTTAATTGCTATCGCTGTTGCCTGTGTTCTCCTCCTTTCCCTCTTTTCAAAGTTTAAAAATTCCGAACTGAAAGAATAATTTATTAGAGTGACTGAAGAGGGGAAGGCTTGGTAATGGACACATCCAGGCTTGGTAATGGATATGGATAGAGATTCAAAATGATTCAAATAAATTCAAAATGCCTGCGGATATCCGCCTGTATACGCCGTAAATACCCAAACACGGATGCCAAAATCCATGCCCATTACCAGCTCCAGTCACATCTCTATTTTATGTACGTCTTTAAGGATCGGAGGTCGATCGGAATTCCGATTTCCGACGTTTTTTTCCTTTCGATTTCTGACTTCCGAAAATTTAGGCTGATTTCCGACTTCCGACAGTTCCAATTTCCGGGACCTTCTTCATTTCCGATCGACATCTATAAAGGATGAAATAATTAATTAAAATTGGGTGTTTCTGAGGCGTACATAAAATAGAGGGGTTCGACTTTAACAAAAAAATTTTTGGAGACTAATAGAACTAAGGACTAGGATGGTCAAATTTTTTGTTATTCATGATTTTAGATTTGAAAAATTTACAAAAATTAAAAAATTAATGCCCTATCATAAACTAAAAATATATTAAATTTAATAATTCTTTCAAACAGAAAAATGCATTGGTTGGTGCAGGAGGCCTTATAGAAACAAAGAAAAATATGAGAGAATTGAACGAATAAGAAACATTAAAAAAAATATTTTTATAAAATAAAAGAAGAAAAAGATAGAATTTCCCGAATTGAAATGATAAAAATGTTTTGTGTTTTGCGCATTTCCCCCACACACTCTCTACTTTCTTTTTTTACAATTTCTCTAACTATTTGGAAAGTTTTAAGTTTTCCTTTCTTTTTTATTGTTTCGATTTTTCTCTCTCCCTCTCTCCAACAAGTTTTTCAATCCAATCTTTTTTAAAGAAGAAGGGGACAAATTTCTAATAAGAAGACAGAAACGGTTTTTGGGAGCAGGCCATTATACCGCGAGCCCAGTATACCGCCGAGCTATAACTTCGTTCAAAATAGTCGAATCCGGGACGCCCTGGTATGGTTCGATGCGCCTTGACGAGCTGAATCGAACCATACCAGGGCCTCCCGGATCCGACAATTTTGAACAGTTATAGCTCGGCGGTATACTGGGCTCGCGGTATAATATCGACATCGATACCGTATTTTCTTGATTAATTCCTATGGGGAATTATTTTTTAACCCTTCCTTGGGAATTATTTGAGGGAGGGGAATTAATCGAGAAAATACGGTATATAGTATCGATCCGTTCTCTATTTTTAGGTACAGATTGGAAATTAAATAAATATTCTTGGAGAATTAATAATTTAAAAAATTAGTTTAAGTGATGCTTCAAAAAAGAATTTGACGATATTTAAGCTTGTAATGGAAATTAATCAAATTTTGTCTGGTGTTTCTACTTTACCCTGTCAAAGTGGAAAGGATCGGACTTCATGGCTTTGATTTTAGAGGAGGGGAGGATTTTGAAGGAAACTTGTGGACTTTACAATCAAAGGTGATGGAGATTGTCTGAATAGAAATTTAAAAAAAATGTTGCAAAAATTACCAAAAGCTCAGTAGCTCAGATTGATGCGGTACAGCTAACCCCAGCCTGAATGCATGGTGAGCGAAAGCTATTTCTGAGTGAAGGCTTTTTTTATGCGTGGTGAGCGAAGGCTTTCTAAGAACACCTTACAAATCTGAATTTTTTCAAACGACCCGTCCCTGATATTTCTGGTAATGCAACGATTTGGCTCTGGTAACGTGCGATCAATATTCTAAATTTATTGGGTACTTATTGGGGTAATCAATTTAAGTTTTCGGAATATAGAAAAGGGCATTACCTTCTTAATTACAAAATCAATGTAAATATAGACAGGATTAATTCTCAAATTAGGTTATAAAAACGTTCATGTCTTAAGGGAACATTTTATATAAAGTTGTGTTCTTGTACGAGAAAATGCCCTTCTCTACATGTTTGCAAGAATAATTAAAAAGTTTGATGGAATATTCGCAGCCCATAGACGTTATTGACTTCGTATTTCCTAAAAATAAATTTAACATTTTTCCAAAACTGTTGTTATTCCTCTTCTAGACATTTTGAAATTTTAATTTGTTGGGACCTTTGAATTAAATTTTTACAATTTTGGCATAATGTATATTTATTTTATAGATAATATAGAAGATATAGAAAGGAACTTGACGGTTTTTTGTTTTATTTTTTCAAATTTTAGTTTTTATTTCTTTTTTGTTCCTTAATTTTCTTCTAGTTTTTCTTGTTTTTTAGAGATTTAAAATTTTTTTTCTAAAATGATAATGCTCTACCATTCTACTAGTGTCTATGATATGATGAAGTGGATGAGTTGATGGCCCTCAATTGATATTGGCAAATTCTGATTTTTTATTTAAACGACCGATGCTTTCGAGTTGTTGGCAGGTTTTTTTTCTAAATTTTTGGGGTACTTAATCAGGTTTTGTAAAAAAGTGCAGCATGGCCCCATTCTAACTGTTTACAGTGGGGTGGCGGAAGAGCGTACGCGGTGAGACCCGAAAGATGGTGAACTATTCCTGAGCAGGACGGCCATGCACCCCTATCCACTGAATCATGAAAAAGCTATCAATCTGTCAATCCTCACGGTGTCCGGGCCGGGTGAGTTTCCCCGTGTTGAGTCAAATTAAGCCGCAGACTCCACTCCTGGTGGTGCCCTTCCGTCAATTCCTTTAAGTTTCAGCTTTGCAACCATACTTAACCGGAAGACTTTCGTACAGTGGGGTGGCGGAAGAGTGAGTGAGTGAGTGACTGAGTGAGTGAGTGAGTGGTGTGAGTGAGTGGTGAGTGAGTGAGTGAGTGAATTTTCGTTCATATTATTGATGTTTACAGTTTAAAAACTGTGAAAAATAACCAGTAATGCACATAAATAAGGATTTATTTAGAATTTTCGTTCATATTATTGATGTTTACAGTCTAAAAACTGTGAAAAATAAACAGTAATGCACATAAATAAGGATTTATTTAGAATTTTCGTTCATATTATTGATGTTTACAGTCTAAAAACTGTGAAAAATAACCAGTAATGCACATAAATAAGGATTTATTTAGAATTTTCGTTCATATTATTGATGTTTATAGTCTAAAAACTGTGAAAAATAACCAGTAATGCACATAAATAAGGATTTATTTAGAATTTTCGTTCATATTATTGATGTTTATAGTCTAAAAACTGTGAAAAATAACCAGTAATGCACATAAATAAGGATTTATTTAGAATTTTCGTTCATATTATTGATGTTTACAGTCTAAAAACTGTGAAAAATAACCAGTAATGCACATAAATAAGGATTTATTTAGAATTTTCGTTCATATTATTGATGTTTACAGTCTAAAAATTGTGAAAAATAACCAGTAATGCACATAAATAAGGATTTATTTAGAATTTTCGTTCATATTATTGATGTTTACAGTTTAAAAACTGTGAAAAATAACCAGTAATGCACATAAATAAGGATTTATTTAGAATTTTCGTTCATATTATTGATGTTTATAGTCTAAAAACTGTGAAAAATAACCAGTAATGCACATAAATAAGGATTTATTTAGAATTTTCGTTCATATTATTGATGTTTACAGTCTAAAAACTGTGAAAAATAACCAGTAATGCACATAAATAAGGATTTATTTAGAATTTTCGTTCATATTATTGATGTTTACAGTCTAAAAACTGTGAAAAATAACCAGTAATGCACATAAATAAGGATTTATTTAGAATTTTCGTTCATATTATTGATGTTTACAGTTTAAAAACTGTGAAAAATAACCAGTAATACACATAAATAAGGATTTATTTAGAATTTTCGTTCATATTATTGATGTTTACAGTTTAAAAACTGAAAAATAACCAGTAATACACATAAATAAGGATTTATTTAGAATTTTCGTTCATATTATTGATGTTTATAGTCTAAAAACTGTGAAAAATAACCAGTAATGCACATAAATAAGGATTTATTTAGAATTTTCGTTCATATTATTGATGTTTACAGTCTAAAAACTGTGAAAAATAACCAGTAATGCACATAAATAAGGATTTATTTAGAATTTTCGTTCATATTATTGATGTTTACAGTCTAAAAACTGTGAAAAATAACCAGTAATGCACATAAATAAGGATTTATTTAGAATTTTCGTTCATATTATTGATGTTTACAGTCTAAAAACTGTGAAAAATAACCAGTAATGCACATAAATAAGGATTTATTTAGAATTTTCGTTCATATTATTGATGTTTACAGTCTAAAAACTGTGAAAAATAACCAGTAATGCACATAAATAAGGATTTATTTAGAATTTTCGTTCATATTATTGATGTTTACAGTTTAAAAACTGTGAAAAATAACCAGTAATACACATAAATAAGGATTTATTTAGAATTTTCGTTCATATTATTGATGTTTACAGTTTAAAAACTGAAAAATAACCAGTAATACACATAAATAAGGATTTATTTAGAATTTTCGTTCATATTATTGATGTTTATAGTCTAAAAACTGTGAAAAATAACCAGTAATGCACATAAATAAGGATTTATTTAGAATTTTCGTTCATATTATTGATGTTTACAGTCTAAAAACTGTGAAAAATAACCAGTAATGCACATAAATAAGGATTTATTTAGAATTTTCGTTCATATTATTGATGTTTACAGTTTAAAAACTGTGAAAAATAACCAGTAATGATCATAAATAAGGATTTATTTAGAATTTTCGTTCATATTATTGATGTTTACAGTTTAAAAACTGTGAAAAATAACCAGTAATACACATAAATAAGGATTTATTTAGAATTTTCGTTCATATTATTGATGTTTACAGTCTAAAAACTGTGAAAAATAACCAGTAATGCACATAAATAAGGATTTATTTAGAATTTTCGTTCATATTATTGATGTTTACAGTTTAAAAACTGTGAAAAATAACCAGTAATGATCATAAATAAGGATTTATTTAGAATTTTCGTTCATATTATTGATGTTTACAGTTTAAAAACTGTGAAAAATAACCAGTAATACACATAAATAAGGATTTATTTAGAATTTTCGTTCATATTATTGATGTTTACAGTCTAAAAACTGTGAAAAATAACCAGTAATGCACATAAATAAGGATTTATTTAGAATTTTCGTTCATATTATTGATGTTTACAGTTTAAAAACTGTGAAAAATAACCAGTAATACACATAAATAAGGATTTATTTAGAATTTTCGTTCATATTATTGATGTTTACAGTTTAAAAACTGAAAAATAACCAGTAATACACATAAATAAGGATTTATTTAGAATTTTCGTTCATATTATTGATGTTTATAGTCTAAAAACTGTGAAAAATAACCAGTAATGCACATAAATAAGGATTTATTTAGAATTTTCGTTCATATTATTGATGTTTACAGTCTAAAAACTGTGAAAAATAACCAGTAATGCACATAAATAAGGATTTATTTAGAATTTTCGTTCATATTATTGATGTTTACAGTTTAAAAACTGAAAAATAACCAGTAATACACATAAATAAGGATTTATTTAGAATTTTCGTTCATATTATTGATGTTTATAGTCTAAAAACTGTGAAAAATAACCAGTAATGCACATAAATAAGGATTTATTTAGAATTTTCGTTCATATTATTGATGTTTACAGTCTAAAAACTGTGAAAAATAACCAGTAATGCACATAAATAAGGATTTATTTAGAATTTTCGTTCATATTATTGATGTTTACAGTTTAAAAACTGTGAAAAATAACCAGTAATGATCATAAATAAGGATTTATTTAGAATTTTCGTTCATATTATTGATGTTTACAGTTTAAAAACTGTGAAAAATAACCAGTAATGATCATAAATAAGGATTTA